CCCCAAAACCCCAAAACCCCAAAACCCCAAAACCCCGTTTTAGTTAAGGTTTATTGAAGGTTTATTGAGTTATGAGAAAAGGTCATCCAAACCTTGCCCATTTGACTGTGACTGAGTTTGGTATTGTGGTGTTTGTGACTGAGGCTTTGAACCTCCCATGTTATCATATCCTGTCTGATATTGATTTCCATAGGTGTTTTGATTATTGTAACCATAAGTATTATGGTTATTATAACCTTGATAAGCTGTTTGATCACCATATTCTCCTGTAAAGTTAAATACTAAAATTTACCTCCGTTATAATTGCTTTGGGTTTGCATTCCATTTCCTTGATAATTGTGATAATATTGATTCTGGTTATATCCACCTCCCATGGTATTATATCCTTGACCCATTGCTGGAGCTCCAGTGTTAAAAATAGATGAAGGGTCTGATGCAAAAATATTTTCAGTTTTGTTTTGCTTTGATGCACCATAGGACATATCAGTTTCACCACCAACATGCTCAGTATAGTACTGATTTTGAGATTGTTTCCCTCCTCCAAATATATCATCTTGAGCAGGTTGAGATGTGGTGTTATCTTGTCCAAAGAAATCATTTACATCAGAATCGTTCTGTGGTGGCACCTCTGAAGTATGCTGCTGGTTGGCTGAACTTTCCCCAAATATATCATCTAGCTGTGCTGAGTTTATCTTTTGCATCCCAAGATTGGGTTGATTACTAACTCCACCACTTCCAAAGAAATCTTCTTCTTCTTGATTGTTTACTGCAGTTTGATTTATTTGCTTGGATAAATGATTCTGGTTTATATTCGCAGTAGCATAAGCATTGGGATCCTCTACAAAGTTATAGTCATAGTTCTTCTCAGCCTCATCACCTGAGGATTCTTCATCAAATTTATGCACTTCCTCTTTTGGCAGACTTTGCTTCATGTCGTTAAAATTAAAATTGTCTTCGATTAAGTTCTCTGCTGGCTTAGTGTTAACAATCGGAGCTGGGTTCTTATATGTGCTAAAATCATCATCATTGTATTTAGCATCATCGTTCATAGCTTTTTCCCAGGAGTCATCCAAAATTTCCTTCTTTTTCGTTGGCCTTTTTGCTTTAGGTTTCTGCTCAGGACTTCTTTTGGAAGGATTTCTATATTTGTCTAAAATATTCCCATCCGCGTGGTAAGGATTATATGCTTTCTTAGTAGTACCAAGGGAGGACCCTTTAGAGTACCCTGCTCCAACTCTATCATTTTTCTTGTAGCTCTTCTTGTCAAATCTAGAGCCAGAGTCGCCGAAACCACCTGTAACATGAGACTTTTTTATAATATCTCCATAATTCTTTTCTTTAAAAGCGCTTTCTCCTTGACTAGAAGCAATCTTATCAGTCTTTCTTGTTGTCTCCATTTCTTGTAAATCTGAGAACCTGTCTCCATCAATAGAAAGTTCATATTCTTTGCCGTATTGCTTGACTGTTGAGTAGAGCTGGTCGATCACAAATTCATAGAAGAACTTGCCTTTATAGGCCTTGGATTCAATAACGATTTTTCCGTCGGAGACTAATTTGACTTTCCCCGAGTAATGCGAGGAATAGAGCTCAACAGTGTGTCTTTTGGAATCGATCTCAAACGACCAGACGTGGAGTTGTTTGGACTTTTTAACAGTCTTCCCCACATTTCTGATCTCATAGTGAAGATCTGTGATCCTATAGTTTAGGTTAGATCTTGCAATGAATCAGTGAAAATCTTACATTTTCTACGATATTTTTGGAAATTAAAATATATACTAATTTTCGGGGTTTTGGGGTTTTGGGGTTTTGGGGTTTTGGGGTTTTGGGG